CAGGGTGGTAAAGATAAAATTTTATTACCCCTGTATTACATAATATTACACAATTTGTATTGTACACTTCCTTTGAATAACTGGATTCGTCAGGCGGCAAGTGTCAAACAAATTGGCACCCGAACGTTTGTTCATTCAACTGGGACGTTTGAATATGATATAGTTAATCAGTTAGCTTATTAAAATGGTAATTTATGTAGCTTTTAAATATACCGATCAATGTTTATCGATTTTGAGAAGAGAAAAATTGTGTGAAGTGCATTATTAAAATAACATGTATTACGAAGATTCGGATAAAATGTGTGTTAATCTTTTCCAAACAACCCATCTTAACTTCTCAAGATTTTGAAAAAAAAATTATTAAAAATCTATCTATGTGACTTAAATTTTTCTGTTTGGATCACAGGCAAATCGGATAAAGAATATAATCAGGTATATTGAACCCTAAAAATGCATTACACCTGTTCTGATATTTTTTCTGAATGATAATTAATCTCGATTTCATGTTACATAATTTCTTTTGTTTTTAAATGAACTATTTCAACTGCAAATAAGTTGACTTTTCATTTGCTAATAGATATATTTCCACATATCTTCTCAGTATCAAGTATCTTTTCGATCCATGCCTTTTTATGGCATTCTTCGCCACAAAGCTATAGTCGTCTTTTCTATATTTGTTGAAAGCTATTTTATATAATGTTCTACCGTTTACCTTGAACTTACTCGGAATTGTCTATGAACGTCTTCTATATTTCTATGTAGGGCGAAGCATTTTCTGCCCTACACAGATTGCGCATGCGCGAGCAAATTCTTATTCTGGTCGATTTATCATAGCAACGGACCGCGTCGTAAAAAGGTCTATATAAAAAACCTTCAGTCTACAAAATAATCAGAAAATGAATAAAATAAAATAATAAGTAAACGCTTTTCTACAAGGGGAATATTTAAATAAGTGGCATCGGCAGCGCGTTTTTATAAATAAGTTATAATAAGTCTGTTAAACTGATAAGTTGAGTCCTTCAAAATATTCACCATGGACCTATATCCTTTTACAGCCTCAGACTCCATTCCGAGAAAAGCATTTCTGAACTGTTCTTTGGGCATTCTGTTTATACACTGGTAGAGAGCGCTTCCGATGGCAGTACTTCTTTAGAACTGGCGATTGCGAAAGCAAGATTTGGTGTATGCATTTATCTTAAGTCACCAGGAGAGAGTTAAACGAAATGCGGGATGTAGCAAAATCACAATTCTCTGCTCCTTTAAATAAGCTTGAACAAAGGCTGAGCGGTGTATTATTATGGAGTAATTTGATCCTGCGCACACCGGTTTTGGGTTTTTTGTAATGATCAACTACAGCAGAGAGAACATGGTCACGGTAAAATATTCCAGTGACACATCCCCTCTCAGGCACTGCGACACGGGCAACTATGTCATCACTCTAAAACATAATATAGTATACACAATTCTTTTAACCATCTCACTAAGTTGAGCCAAGAACTAAGCGATCGCTCTTTTCGCCTCCCCACATTTCTTTACTGAGTTTATTGTCAGGCTAAAAAAATAAAGCCACGTTTCATCCCTGTGACAACTTCTCTCTGGCGTTTAGGTTCTCAATCTTGGAACATAGTCAATAAGGTCGAGGCTTTTTCAACCCGCTGCCTTTTCTGGTCAGAAGTCTATAACTTCTCTTTCAAAATGGAAAACATATTAACGTACTAAGGCCCGATATGTCACTTATCTCCTCCACGGTGTATATTGCATCTTCATCAACTACGTCTTTGACGGTGTTGATGTCTTTAAGTAAGCGGAATTGGCCGCCCAGGCCGGTGGTAATCATTATTCTAAGTTCAACCTTCCTTAAACATGGATACCCGCCTGGTTATTGTACGATATGGAAGGGCATTTTCACCATAAACAAAATCTTTATCCGTTTTTATTTCTGTCTCACATTTACCTAATAACCCATAAATGTTGCAATAAGCTCTTCTCAGCCATGTTTGCAACCAGTATACAAAAACACATGTATCTATAAACCTGCTGAAATTTAATTGCACCTGCTAAAATGTTATTGCACTTGCAAATCGTGCAAAAATACAGTTGGTTAGAAAAATGAAAAATCTTTTCAACGTTATATTATACATGTACTTACACGTTAAATTATGGTTAAAATGAGTTGTAACCACTTATTAAAATATGCCCCTCGTATACTTAAACATACAAAGAGAAATTGTGACTATGTAATACGGACATTTCCTTCACTATTTGTATTGAAGTTTGTAATTTTTCATATTGTTATTATTTATTTATTACAATTATTCATGTTTGTTTGTTTGTTTTGATTTGTTTAGATTGGATTACACATTATTCTTGTACTAAATAAGAATTCGTTATTACGAAATAATAATTCGTTTAACGAAATATTATTTCGTTTTAAGTAACCATGAATAGTCCCAATACATTCATTCACTAATGAGGGCAGCATGCAAATTCGTAAACTTTTAATAAGTAATTGACCTGACATAGAGTTTGAATTGAAGGTCATTGTTAGCTTGCCATAGAACTTTCTAACCTCACAATCAAAAGTGGTCATTAACAAGCCTGGATCATCATTGCCACCAAATATAACGATTATACGTCTAATTGTACGGAGCCCCAAAGGTAACATTTTCCATACTTTTTTCCCGAAACATAATTCGTTTTTACGAAGTACTAATTTGTCATTACGAAATATTTTTCCGTTATTACGAAAAATTAATTCGTAAAAAACGAATTATTAATTCGTTTTAACGAAATATTAATTCGTAAAAACGAATTATTAATTCGTAAAAACAAATTATTATTTCGTGAAAACGAATTATTATTTCGTAAAAACAAATAAATATTTCGTAAAAAAAACGAATTAATATTTCGTTATTATGAATAAATATTTCTTCGTTTTTACGAAATATTAATTCGTTTTTACGAAATATTAATTCGTTTTTTACGAAATATTAATTCTTAAAGAACGAATAGATATTTCGTAAAAACGTATTAATATTTTCGTAGAAACGAATTATTATTTCGTAAAAAAGAATAAATATTTCATAATTACGAATTAACATTGCGAAAAAAAAACGAATTAACTCCCGGGATAAAAATGCCGAGAATGTCACCTTAGGGGCTCCGTTTGATTGCTATCAAGTTATCATATTTTAGTGAACAGGGTTTTTGAATGAGACGTCATTTTCAATCCAAAACTTCCTCTTTTCCCCTTTTTCAAAAAACATATACAAAACAGCTTGCAAAAAATCAAATGTTTTAATTTCTGACAAAATCAATCTTTTCTGGCATTTGATTCCGTTTAAGCACAGGATTTATTTCTTAAAAACGAATTAATATTTCGTTTTTACGAATAACGAATTAATATTTCGTAAAAACGAATAATTATTCGTAAAAAAATAAATATGTCGTTTTTATTAATTAATATTTCGTAATTACGAATAAATATTTTTTGAAACGAATTAATATTTCGTTTTTACAAATTAATATTTCGTAATTACGAAATAATATTTCGTAAAAACGGAGTAATATTTGATAAATACGAATTAATATTTTCGCAAATACGAATTAATATTTCGTCAAAACGAATTATAATGTCTCGGGAAAAAGAGTGGAAAATGTTACTTTAGGAGCTCCCTAAAGACAAATATTTTCCGCTTGAACTTTTTTTACTGCACATAAACAGAATGAAATGTTTCGGAACACAATAATTTTACCTTAAGGGTTTTACCTTTTAACAACAATTTTATGCATGCACTTGATAGGAAATGCACCAACATTTGTCATTTATCTTATAAACAGTCTTTTTTATTTTTTTTTCAAATGTTAAGCAAAATAATGAACTGTGATCTTAAGTATCAAAGATATGGCTTTATACCATTTGATTTTTCATTAAACATTTTCATGGAAGCGTGTTACCTTTAAAAGTATTAATTGAGTAAATTTGTCGTAAAATATGAGCTTAAGAAATAAATAATACAACTCAAAGTATATAGGATATTTTTAATATTTAAAGTATTTTCTGTTTTAATTTTTTTTTTTATTTCTTTAGTATTTCATTAATTTGAAAGTTCGAATATTTAGTGGAAAAACGTATTTGATTGATGGTATGTAAGACATACTGAATTAAAATCTGATCTTAATAAGTTTAAATTTTTCTATGTAAATAAAGGTAGACGTCAGAAAAGGTCGCCTCATTATAAGAAATAATTACAATTCAATAGTAAATCTAATTATTTACCTTGAAGAAAGATAGTAGTCCATATAAACAAAAAAGAAGTACACGTTTGAAATGACATTTTAAACAATTGCATTTCAGTTACTCGTCTTGTTATATGAACAAAGTAATTTGTGTAGCGTAAACAAGGAAGTTTTATTTTGTTCATAAGTGAGAAAGTCTTTCTTCACCCGTCAGTAATCAATGAAAAGAACAATTCAACCTATTACCCGTTGTATGCATGTGTACGGTTAATAAAAAATTATCGTATACGTTTTTTGAGTGTACCATGTATAAGTACTGTTCTCTACGAAAGACAGGTAGGGACGTTTGAACTTTTAATCTTCATTAATTTTTTATTTCAACTTCTCAAGTTCGTGAAGTTGAAATCGTGAATTCATGAAGTTGAAATCGTTAATCTATTAAGTTTAAATTGTGTATTGACGGAGTTGAATCTGTAAAGTTTAAACTATAAATTCATGACGTTGAAATCGCGAATAATTGAAGTTGAAATCGTGAATTACTGAAAAAGAAATCGTGTATTCATTTAGTTAAAATCGTGAATTCGTGAAGTTGTATTCGTTAAAATCGTGAAGTTGAATTTGTGAATTCCTGAATTCCGATTGTTGAATATTTGTGAATTCATTAAGATAAAATCGAAGATTCATGAAGTTGAAATAACCCTACCGTACTTCAGTAATTCTCAAATAAAAAAGTATAAGCAGTGTTCACAAATATTAAGAGTAAAAGTACTGTTCACAAATAATAACTTTATAGTACTGTTAAAAAATTATGTAGATGTACTGTTCACAAATATATACTGTATACATACTGTTCTCAAACGATTGCAGTCTATGTACCCGGTCATCAAACAATTACAGTATATGTACTGTTCACAATTAGTTCTTATACAAGGGTACATATAAGCAGAATCAAAATTATGAAATTAAGTGATACTATTACAAATGGCGCGGACAGCTCTGATGATTTAATATGCAAAAAGACGCGACGGCTGTAGCGCTCTTAGATAACATGTTGGTTATCTAATGCAAAATTAATGGCAAAAAACTCCAAACTCTCACAGTGATTTGATTGGCTACGCACTATGAAGGCTTAAAATCAGAGCATGAAGACTCCAATAGAGATAGTAAAGGTAATAAAACACACCAGAGAAAGATCTAAAACAATATGTCAAAACGTCGGTGCAGTAACTGAACGATTACGAGAAGGAACCCTTATGCATTAGCTTATGTTATTATACATACTGGAAAAAATGTTCAATTGTCGAAGATTGTATGCAGAAATAGTACATGATAACTGAAACAATTAATTTTGGAAAGATGTTGTTAAATGTTACATTGATTTCATAAACAATTTCCCAATTGATAGTAAGGACAATTTCTGTAGTATGCCATTGTTTTATAATCAAAACTTTACAATAGATCATAGACATGTGTTCTTTAAGGATTGGTATGTAAAAGGGATTCGATTTGTCATATATGTATTGGACGCTAGCTGAAATTTTATAACAAATCATGAATTTGATAGAAAATCTGGCTTACATAAAAATTTCTTACAATTAAAGCATAAAATACTATGTAAAAGACAGAAAAGAATTAATCAGTGACAAATATATTCCCCACACCTTCCCTTGATGCCATGTTATTTTAAACCTATATTACTATGTTAACACGGTACTTCTATTATTTACAATATATTAACAACCTATAACAAAAAGCCTACATCTCAAGCTGCATGGTGTAGTGTTTTTAAGAAAGTTCCTTTGGAGTGTCGACATCTATACAGTTGGATTTATAAACTAACAAATAATACTTCTTTGAAATGTTTTCAAACTAAGCTTTTGCATAGAATTTAAGCTACAAATACTTTGTATAAAAACAAAAGAATATTGTGACTGATGACAAATGTTTTTTCGGTAAAGATGAGAGTTAAACACAATTTCACTTGTTTTTGGGAATATGATAAAATAAAATCATTTACAGCAGATATTACTGAACATGTCAAATCATTTAATGTAAACTTTGAGATAGATTGCAAAACTGTTAGTTTTGGAAATCCCAAGAAAATTTTTGAAAGTTATAACATATTTTGCCAAAAGATATATTTATTTATGCAAAAGAAAATGTATTGTTCCAAACTCAATGGGCTGAAAGGAAGCTTAAAATAAGACTTATCAATTGTTAAAAATACAAACATTTTGGAAAATAAACTGTCAAATTAGTTCATGGTAAAGTTACTATGTGAAAAAAAATATAATTATCAATTATTTGCTTATGATTAAATTTACGATTGTTAAAAGCGGATTGGTCTACATTTGGCACATATTTTTTTATCATATTGTAAGCAGCTCAAATATTTAAAAACAATAAAAAAAAACAATAAAACAAAAACAAAAGCCCACTAGAAATTATATCATTTGGATATTCTTAGCCAGAAATAAATAAAATAAAATGCAAAGTGATTCAGAATGGACATTTAAATATGTTGTTTTTAATTGTAAGCCAACTCACTTAAAAAGTACAAAATAATTTTGCAATATTTGTATATTAAAATTGTTTTGTTAAATTGTATTGCAGTTACTACTTTAATCTGAATTGTACATTATATTGATGTTACATGTATATGCCTACAGCAACGCTTAAAATACCAGAGTTTATTTATACACAAAATGAATGCATAAAACGCAACCATCCTTTTAAATATATTACATGCAATCGATTAATTTAATTGAATCCGAATCCATTGATCATAAAAAATTATATGAAAACAAAATAGATAGTTTACTCAGTTATTGAATGTTATTTCGACAACATTAAAGTTTGAATTGATCAAAGTATTACACTACAACCCTTTAATTTTTCTTTATGATATGACTGTACGTCTCTCCTCCATTGAACTGGCTCTTTACATTTCTTGTATCAACAAAATCGTATTCACCTTCAATTTTGTTAAGAACGCCGTATACGTTGTCGGTTTTGCCTATCTTAACTAAACGTCTACTACTCGTATGATTATATGTGTTTTCCGTTGCATCTTCATCTAGATTCTTATCGTGCTGAGCTTTTAATTTCATGGCTACCCTTTCTGTAGAATCGTACGTATTTTCAGATTTACTGCCTCCAGTTATATTTCCATTTGAGTTCAGTTTGTTATAAACATTGCTTGTTTCTGTGTGTGTCATATTTTCAATGTTTTCATCGGTATTTGATTCCCATGTATGTGTTTCAAGGATATAGTAGGTGTGTCCGCTAATGACATTATCAGTTCCTTCATTTTCAGAGCAACGTTCTGATGGGAGTCCTAAATCATCAATTTGATCATAAGAAGAACCTAAAGACATTTCGTAGGCATTTTTATCATGTTTAGAGCTGGGGCGCATTTCCGTAGAAATGTATGGAGAACATTCAGATTTCTCTTTTCTGAAACATTTTGTTGTAATTTTCCCACTAAAAAGAGAAAATAAATCCGTTCAAAACATCATCTACAAATTTAGTAGGGATTGTTTTTCTATTTCATATTAATTTGGCTACTCTGGTGTGAAATTAAATACACAGAATTTTTTTCAGACCATTTAAAAATGTGCATATTTATATAAACTTTGTTCTGTCTTGAATTTCAATGACAGACAAATATAAAACCTCAATTGATGTTTCGTTTGCATAAAAAATTAATGAAAATATTTTAATGGATTTTAAAAGCGAAAAACAGAAGTAACCGTTAACCAAAATGAACGTTTTAGGATATATCATTTAATAAAAATGTATGTTATATCAACAATAATTTTAATGATAAAAATTCATTACCGTCTCTTTAATGTCACAAATATTACAACAATAGCAACGACGATCATGGCAGAAGTAACCGAAATTCCAATAGTAACTCCAACATCAGAATCTGAAACAGTACAATGACATACATTAAAATTATTCGAATTCAATTAAAGCAAGACTTAAAATGTAGATTTTAGGTACTTTTAAATCTTTTATTATCGTAATATTATATTATAGTATCATGTTAGCATTTTCAGTTATGACAATTTCCAAAATATTATTTCCAATATTTCAATTTGCGTGTCTATATGTAATGACAATGTCATCGGTTTACATTGTCTCAAAAAGGCTAGTAAGTACAGTTCTGTGTTAAGAAACCAGAATATAGCTTCCTAGCAATTTTAACCTAACGTAATATATTCTTCCTGCAGGCGGATTGGCATTTCTTTAAGTCACGTTGATCAAATATAACATTTTTGAAAGGAAACACATTATGAGAGTCACGTTTCAATTTTCAATTTTGTGCGGAATATGTTTTACCTGAGGCTGTTCTACATACTACAAATTTGTATACCTTCCAATTTTAATTGAATTAATTCCATTTAACTTTACGAACAAATATAAAGCAATTGTAAAAACAGTCACTAAAGTCACATTGTACAATATCTACAAAGCGTAATCTGTAGGAATTTATCCCCTCTCAAAATTATTATATCTAATTTAATATCGCTCCGTTAATTCCCTTTAAGGAAAATCAATTTGCTTTTAGGGGCTTGCTAGGCTTGAAATAAAAGTAACATACTGGTAATAGAGTTTAAATTTACAATTAATTGTTAAAGTATGCTTAAGCCAATGCTAGGTGCAATGACGATAATACGCATTACCCACATTTAATAAAAAACTAAATCAAATTGGATCGATTATATTCATTTGAGTCGTGTATTCTTCAGCTTGTTCGTTATTTATGTTATTTATTCCAGATAATACACAATCGCTTTATCATTTAAAATTGACACTAAGTCTTGACATAAAGATGTAGAAGACGTCATAGTCTCAATTTATAGTACAAAAACAATCATTAGGTATAAAACTTCAACCTACTTTGATCCATTTGTTTCTCTACGTTTAGAGGGCTTTCCTCTGTTAATGTCTCTGGTGACAAGGAACTTATGGTACGAACCGATTCTAAAACAGATGTTGTTGATGAGGATTGTGAACCTGACATGGATGTTGTTTTATCGTATGACGATACTGTAACATCAGCTGAAAATACACATTATCCAGTCATAACATTCGGTCGATTTCGTTATGAGATAACGAAGGAAAAACAATTAATATCTTTAATGTTAATGCCGCAATGTAATATCTGAATAAAACTTTTAAAGCAGCTGACCTCCAGAAGATAGCAGAAAAACTGCCGGCTTGCTAATATTTCAAAATCCCCAATCAAAAACATTATACAGTTGAGAGAAATCGAAATGACACTTCAAAATGTTCATATTTTAGTATTATTGCTCTGAAAACAAACAGTTCGCTTTTCCACCAACGGTAAATACCTTCTTTTATTATACCACGGAATTCTTTCGTACAGGACAATATCGCGACCTGTGCTCCGGAACGCAATAAATCCGGGATTTTATCAACATATAGGATACGAATAACTGCTTTTGTTTTTATATTTGTAGTAATTCATGGCACTAAAATTATAATGGATTAATTATTTTATATTACATGATGATCAATTTATCGATTTAACCTTTAGCTTGAAATGTGATAGGGGCCTACTTAATGACAAAAAAGATTGATAAACGATCCCGGGCATACCGGATACCGGGATTTTTCCAGTTCACTGTTGTGACACGTGGCCGCTTTAAACTATTGTCTACTGCGTTAGTAACGTAGTAGATTATGGAAAAGAAAAACCCGATATGGTAACGCTTTCGTCAATATTCTTTCTTGAATCAAGGTGTCAGTAATGATAGATTTATACCATGTATACAATAAACCAAACTAGATCAGTATTTACTGTTTATTTGAAATTGTATTTATTTATTTTTTTCGTTTTACCATCTGGAGGTCAGTGGCTTTAATTATCAGGATTGTAACGGATGCCATCATCGATGCAAATGTTTTTTTGTTTTTTTTTAATCTTATTTTAACATTTTGGATTTCAGTTTGAATGTGTTACAAGTACAATTTGTACTACAAAGCAATGAATACAGGTACTAGCGTTTGTATTTCGTCAGTCGAAAATTCTTGATTTTGTTTAAGAACATTTAAAGTAATATAATAAAACATTTAACTATTTGAATAACACTATTGAAATGTTCAAAGAAAATATTATAAATATCATCTCTAAAGCTTATACAATCATTAAATGATAAGCAATACATTAAGCGACAGTTAAATGCCTCTTATTCAGAATTAAGTCAAATTAGTGTATTTTTCCCTACCTATCGATATTAAAGATCTTGTATGTTGTAATTTAAGATGTAATAGCACTTGATATAGTGATATTTTATATGTAGATCAATATAATTTTTCTTCTAAAAAAATTCCCAAACATCCAAGAATTTGTTAAATATGTACTGCAAATATTTATTCGCAGTATGAGGTAATCGTTAAAACATACGCATTCATTTCCTATTGAAAAAATGGCATAGACATTATCAAAAAAAAAGATTTCTAATTACCTCCCTTTATTAACATGAATTTATCTTTACAAATGCTTTTTTGAACTTACAATATTGATAAATCTTCATTTAAGCATCAGATTTATAATATAAAACCACAGAAATTTGAGTTACAGGATCTTTAAACATTTTTAACATATTAGTAGTTGTTCTCTCATAAACATTTCTGTATGTTTCATATACAGACTATTTTTGTTATACATTTACTTACATGTTTCAAAGAGGGCGCTTTTCGTTGCATTTTCGTCTGAAGAAAATTCCAGAGATATATCTTCTCCCTTTCTTTTTAAGTAACCGTATTTTATGTTAATTTTGCTTTTGAGCTCTGTCAAATAAAAAAATAGTAAACCAAATAATAAAAGTAAAGATAATGAAATTGAAAACATGCGAAACCCGGGAATTATTACATCTACATTTGTTCGAACATATGCTGTTGTGAAGTATAAAAATCTGAACAAGTATAGTATTTCAGAACCATTAATCAGAAGTTTCACATACTTTAACATAATTATTCCTTCTTATGTTAAAGGACTGGAAAAATTGTCTCTAAGACCTTAAACCTTGTGCTTTTTAAGCTCAAAAACTATCAAGTATTTGCTATTCAGTATCCTTACTCTTTCACAATTCTAGGTGTTTGTATTTTTAAGTAATTAAGAAAAAAATATTTTAGAATTATTGCCTATTGATCTTCAGTTAATGACTTTAAATCCCTTATTCCTTTTATTGGCCATGGGCTTGGAACGTGTTAAGTTTCACAAACCTAGGTGAACTCCTTCGGAAGTAATCAATCTGATTTAACACTATATGAAGAAGAAGAAGAAGAACTTTTTATTTGCACTAAAGCCCTAAAAAGAGCAATTGACAAAGCATTAATATATATACATACACAAATATAAACATAGCAATACGTGACAAGGTTATATTTCTATTTAATGTAAGAAGCTCTACATAAACTGTGTCACTCTACTAGACGTGCGCAAGTTTGTACTTTCTCAAAACCTATCCTTAGTTCGCCCATTGTTTTCTCGTTTAGGACATGCGCTTTCTATTACTTGGGGACCATATGCTGCTTTTGCCATGGAAGTGTCACATTAAAGGTTCCATGATAACCGCCGTATGAACACATCTGATGATGTTTGTAAATTCAAAATTTTGCCATTTCATGTTTGAATGTTGAATTTGGTAGGGGGCGTGGACGGCAACTTGCAGTTTCCAATACCTTCAATGAACAAGCTCAGTCAAACCTAGCCTGCATTTTAAGCTCACCTGAGGACAACTTGCTCAAGGTGAGCTTTTGTGATAGCCCATTGCCCGTCGTCCATGCGTCCGTCGATGCGTGCGTCAACAATCTCTTTAAAAAATTTCTCTTCTTAAACCACTTGACTAAATTTGTTGAAACTTTGCAGGGCTGTTTCTTCTATAAAGCTCTTCAAAAGTTGTTAAAATAATTAAATTCCATAAAGATCTCTGGTTGCCATGGCAACCGAATGATATTTTTTTTACAAACAAATCTTGTAAAATACCGAAAGAGCTAGAGTTAAGATATTTGGCATGAAACATCTTCTAGTGGATGACTACCAATTTTTTTTCAAATAAATGCCCTATGGTCAAAATTGGCCCCGCTCATGTGGGTCGTTGATTTTTCTTATATATACATGTATATAGTAAAAATTAAAACAACCCTCTACTTTGACAATCCAAAAGAGCTATAGCTTAGATATTTGGCATAAAACATCTTCCAGTAAATGGCTATCAAGTTTGTTCAAATTAAAGCCCTAGGTTGAAAATTGGCCCCGTTCCAGGGGTCATTGATTTTCCTTAAGGTAGTACACCCCTTATGCACTATCTCCACTTTGAAGAGTATTCAAATAGGCTAGAATCACTGTAAAGTGTAGTGAAACTGAGGGGCGTGGGTTCAAACCCCAAAAGGGGCAACTTTTTTTTTCTTTTTAACATCTTTTATTAATCTCTCAGATCCCTAATGGAAGAAAAACGTGTTTCATTTTAATACTAAATTTTTTGTAGGTACTTATTTACTAAATAATGCCAAATGTAATAGCAAATATGATACCAGATATTTTCAACGTTTAATAAAATAAAAACTACACGGTAAAAGTATTTAATAATTTGCAAGACCCACCATTATACATTAAAGAAAATTTAGGCAAACTTTGAAAACAGCCGCTCATTGTTGAAAATTTTAGGGATATTTTAAAAAAGGCTTTTTATAAATGGAAATGGTCAAAAAAGTGTTAAAAGTGGGTGGGGTAGGATTACATATTTATACATATTAAAAACATTTCGTTTAAAAACAATCATTTTGCTTGTTTAATTTGTTACCTAAATGTCATTATTTGTTTCTGAACAATGAGCAATAGGAAAACATTTTTCATAATGATGATATTATAGATTATTTAGAGTTTCCTCATTTCTTAAAAAAAGCCTTTCTAATGGCAAAGTTTTAGTTCAGAAAAATGTCCATAACTCATAAACCACACGGTAAATTTTGTTTAAATTTTGCATACAGATGACATTTAAGGCATATAACTGCCCTTTGTTGTCAATTAAACAGTTCATTGTAGCGCCCATTAGGGGTGAACTACCTTAAATGTATATAGTAAAGACTTAAAAAAAAATTGTGAACATCGAAAAAAGAGAGAGCTTAGATATTTGGCATGAAAAATCTTCTTGTGAATGTCTACCAAGTTTGTTCAAAAACGTACCTTAGGGTCATGATTGAGCAAGCCCCAAGGGGTCATTGATTTTCCTTACATGTATATAGTAACAATCTTCTTGTGACAATGCAAAAACACTATAGATTAGATATTTGGCACGAAACATCTTCTAATGAGTGTCTACCATGCTTGGTCAAATAAATGACCTAGGGTCAAAATTGGCCCCGCCCCAAGGTGTCATTTATTTTCTTTATTATAATTATGTTTATAGTAAATTTTTTAACAAAATCCTCTTGTGTAAAATCCAAAATATGTATGTCTACAATGTTTGTTAAAAAAAAAACCTAGGGTCAAAATTGGCCCCGACCCAGTGGGTCATTGATTTTTCTTATATGTATTATAAATCTGGTATATTTTGCGATGTTTTAATTTAGGGTGATCAAGGGCCCTGTGTGTCTTTTTTTATTTTTGTCGTTTTCGACATTCTTTAGGGATGTTTATTTTCTCTCTATGATCTTTTTTGCAGTCATGGCGAGTACAAGATATTTTCACTAAATGGAACAATGATCTTGACATTTGGTCTGACAATAAGAAGGGGTCATCCAATGTTCATGACCAACCAATCTCACTACTTTGTATGAATACAGCACGCATATCAAGTTGTAAAATACAAACATACGGACGAGTAGCCAGGCACCGTGGCTTAATATCCCCTTAAAAATTTAATTTTACCTTTACCCGGGTTTTGTACGCCAACCGGTAATTTTGGTGTTTTCCTGGTATTCCCTTCCCGGGGGAGAAACACAAAACAAAAACAAAACTTTCATTAAATTTCGTGAAATTTTTCCAAAACCAAAACTTTTACAAGAAATTTTGTATGTAATGGGTTGTTGCAATGATTTTTAAATTATCTTTTTGTGGCCCTTCTTTGCCCCCAAAACAAAAAAAGTAAGTTAGTCCCCCGGATTTTTAAAAGGGGAAGGGCAAGGAAAAAGCTAGTTGCGTAGGGCCCAAAAAAATTAATAAAACAAAAAAAAGAAAAACTTATTTCAAAAAGTCTTTATTTAAATTAAAAATAAAAAAACCTTTTGAAGTATAAGTAGGAAAAATTTTTCCTCGTGAGCATTTTAGAAAATGGGGGGGTTTTTTAAATTGAAAAGAATTTAAAGGTTTTAATAAAATTAGCAAAGAAAACCCTTTACCCCCCAATTTGTGTTTTTTATGATTTTTTCAGGCGGGAAATGTTAAAAGAAAAATTTAAGGGAACCCAAATTTAAAGAGCACAACAAATTTTTTATTTAAATTTTTAAAGGCCTTTGGTTTAAAATTTTAAAACCACTTTAAAAAAGCCCCATAAAATATTACCAAATAAAAAAACACCTAATTTAAATTTTAAAATTTTTTAAAGACATCGTGAATAATGCTACCAATTTTAAAGGGAGCACAAGCCCAATAACAAAGAGCACCCCCAAATTTTTTTTCTAGTAAAAAGAGTTTTCATGAATTAAGTACAAAAGGTTTAAAGCATCATAAAATTAGGGTTCCCAAAAGTTAAACCCCAAAATTTTTCTTTTTTTTAAATTTTTTAAAGGGACAAAAAATTCCCAAATTTTTTTGGGTTTAAGATGAAAACAAAATAGGGGGGTTTAAAAGGTTTTAAAATTGTACTTTTAACGGGCCGGCATAAAACTTTTGGGTTTTAAAAAATTATAACCTAAAAAACCCGGCCGAATAAAAGGGTAATAAATCAAAATAAACTCTATTTTTCAAAAATTTTTTCATATTTTTTTGAATATTTTGTAAAGTCGAACAAACCTTTTTAATTTTTTAATTTCCACGCTCCGAAATACCCTTTTTCCCAGGGTGGGACTTTTTCCCAAGTTCATTAATGAATTTTTTCTTTCGGGATACCCGTAGGAATGGGCCCTGCATTTAGAGGGTTAAAACACGGTTTGATGTCCCCCGGGGCCCAGGGAAATCTAAAATTTTCTTTTAATTTTTAGTATTTTCCAAAATTAAAAATAAAAAATTGTAACTTTTCCCCCCCAAAGAATTTAAATCTTTTCTATCCAAATTTTAAAAGAATTTTTCTTCATTTTTCCCTTATTTTAAACTAAAGGATTATAAAATGATTCAAAAAAAAGGGCTTTTGTTTTTACCCCTAATTTTTGGAACATTTACTTTTTAAGTTTTCTTACCAAATTTTGATTTTTTTCGAAATCTTAAACGGGGGTTTTAACCCGCAATAAGGGGTAGTACTTTGTTTTTTCCAAAAAGGGTTTTATATATTTTTGAATTTTTTTTAGCAAAATTTCATGAACCGGGAAAATTTGAAAAAATAAACTTTTATCAAATCAAAACTTTTGAAAAAGCAAAGGGCCAAATCAAAGGGACGTTTTTTTTGCAATAGGAGAAACCGACACTTTTTTAAATTTACAAAAAGTTTTTAAGATTTTAAATTTTTTTCTGCAACATGGGCAAAAAACTTTAAAATTGATCAAGTAAATGCATAAAAGGAACGAGTGCAGGCCCCGTAAAAATTTTGTTTTCTGGTTTTCACTGGTAAAAATTTAACCAATCTTACTTTTGCAAAAAAAACAAAAAACCCATCTAATACCCACTTTTAAACAATAAAAACTTTTTACATATTTTTATTTACCTTTTAAGGGAAAGTAAAAAGTCTGATTTTTCGAATTTCTTATAAGGAAACAAAAATTTTTAAAATTTTCACGTCCCATGAACGGATTTTTTAATTTGAAGGTTTAAATTAAAAAGGAAAAACCAAAAACGGCGGGCCCCAAAAAGCCTCAAAAAATAATTTTCTTATTTTAAGGGGGCAAAAATTTTTGGAAAAAAAACTTTTTTTTAAAATTTTTCCAAAAATATATTAAAAATCATTTTTATTTTTTATTTTTAGCCGATTCATAAAAAGGGGTTGGGGCCAAGCTTTTTAAATTTTTGGGGGGTTTTTTTTCACAAAGAATTTTTTCGGGAAAAACAGGCTGAGGGGATTGAAATGAATTTCGTACCCCTTTTTTTTGGCCCGACCTACTCAAAGGAATTTAATTCGAAAATTAAAATTATCCCGAAAGGAAAAAACCAATTCAGCCCTTTTAAAGGGCACTTATCCCAAAAGGGGGAAAAATTTTTGCCTTTTTTAAAAAAACAAAATTTTTTAATATAAAATTTAATTTTTTTAAGAGCATTGAAAATATTTAAAATAAAAAAAGAACACTAAATGTAAATTTTTTGAAATAAAATTACCCAACTGTAAAAAAAGAGTATTTAACTACCAAAACCAAAATTTGTATTTTTCAAATCCCAAAAAAAGAAAAAAAAATACATATTGCTCTTTTGATCTAAAAGTAAATTTCGGGAAACCCTTTAATTAGAACCAAAAAAAGGGTTTTTCTAGAAAAAAAAAAAAGCTTTCGGGCCGTAAGCGTTTTTAAATAAAAACCAAAAGTATTTTACCTAAAAATTTTCCAAAAAAATTTTTGATTGGGGAAAGCAATTTTTAAATTTCCTTTTCAGTTTTTTTGGGTTATTAAATTTGCTACAGGCTATATTATTTTTTTAAAAACAATATTTTTTCAAAAGGGTTTAGAAAAAATTTTCTGCAAACCCCTTTCCCCAAAAGTAAATGTAAATTATTTTAAAACTTCCAAATTTAAATTTCAGCATTTAATTTTTGCTACAATTGGGAAAAATCCCTGTTTCAAAAGTAAATTTAAAAATTTGAGGGATTTTTATTTTTTTGATTTTAAAAAAATTTTTAAAATTTTTTTTGGAAATCCAAAAAATTAATTGGTGAAAGGAAAAAGAAAAAAATCTAAAAAAGGGGTTTCCCTGCAAAAGTTTACAGAGTTTGCATTTTTAATTTTAAAAGTTTTTAAAAAAGGGTTTTATCATATCTTCAATAAAAACCAGAGAGTTTTTTAAAAGCCCAATATTTTAAAGGGTTTATTTAAAAATTTTCTAAATTTAAGTATTTAATTTTTAAACCCCAACTTTTATTTAATTTTAGAGATAAGGGTTTTCATTTCAAAATTGTCAATGAAAAATTACGGGTTTATAAGGAAAAAAAAAAAATTAATTTTTTTTAAAGAACTCAGAATAAAAATGAAAAAATTTTTTCTATTTTTTTTTAAAAAAGGAAACAACAAAAAAGGGGCAAATGTGTTTGATTTTTCTATATAAACTAACGTCCACGTCAAAAAGTGTTGTGGGAACATTCCCTTTGAGCAACATTTTTACCTGCCATTTTCCCTTAATACTACTGAAGTCAATGCATTATTTTTTTTTTGGGCAACTAGATGGGAATACCCCCTTATTAACATTATGCAAAAGAATTGGGGGAGGGCACACTGAATTTATTAGTCTTAAATTTGGTAGTGACAAAAAAGCCCCTTTATTCCCAGGGAGAAGGAAGAGAAATACAATGACAAATCCATAGCAAAATAAAGTAAAAAAGGTTTTAATAGAGGGAAAATTTTTTAATTTAAAAATTGCTCATTAAATTTGTTTTTCACACAAACAAACAAAGTGATCTAAATAGTTATCAAATAGATCTAAAAGCTTTATTTGAGCCCAATTCCTTGTGGCATATAAAGAGAAGGTGGTCAAAACCCCACACCTCAACGATTTTGTCCTACATTCTATATAACATATAAATCAGGAGAAATACTTGCTGCATACAGTTTGATTTCTTGATAGAAAAATGATTTGTAAGCATTTGAAACAATTACATGTATTACTAATATTTTATATGCGCACACATTTGAATACATTACACATATTACTGAAAATTAAACCCTACTGTTATGTGAATGCATAGCTATGTCGTGATTGTGCCTATTCAGCTACAAATGATGGCATAGAAAGGCGCAATCATCTACACATGATAGCTTTGTATTACTGGTTCAATGTAATTACAAAGGTCCTAATGATTAGACAAAACTAGTGTCTGCAGCTTGAACATTATTTCATTCGTTAAAATATGTTTGTCAAGTTCATGAATACATTAAGTACTTAATTAATTTAACGGTATGCACAACTTATTCTCATAAGAATACATTAGAACTTACATCAATAAAGATTTTAACATACATTTCAATATAATTGAATAAAAATAAGTGAGGCATGTATCATATAATTAAGGTCAATATTAAATTAGGAGATATAAAATTGATGACACATTGAAGAACTGTCAAATACATTGGTGTAGACTTTTAAGTGTTTCTTGGAAAATCATTGAACACGTTAAATATCCTACTTTGATTGAATCATAGTAGACATGGTACGATATTACATAACAAAAAATAGCCATGTTTAATGTTAATCTTACTGCAATATGGGCGTATGTATACTTACATCCTTATTGCATATAATAGTATCTCTCAAATTATATGTAAAAGTTATGCAACAAGGGCATAAGTAATAAAATTTGCAAATAAAGTGTTTTTTTACATAATTTATTTTAATGTTGTTTTAAGTTATATTTATAAATTATATTTTTATATTACAAAACAAAGTAATGTAATGGGAATATACAAAATGAGATAGTATTTTTGCTCTACTGTAAAATGTTTAAAAATGTATTTACGCCCTTATTGCATTAAGCCATTGATAACAAATAACTTCTGTTGTTATTCATTTAGATAAATTCGAACATAATTGACATAATTCAGTGGCATGTAAATACGCATTCTGTATATTAGGATAAAACTTATTGAAAACTGTCGATTTTAATATTATGTTATAAATCTTTGCTCCTTATATATTACCTTTTGCTTTGCATAAACATTTCTTGTATTGTCGGCATCCGTTCCAAGACGCACTACTTGAGTATTTATGAAACGCCAAGCATTGCACATCATTAGTTCCACCAGATCCAAAAATATCTGAATAAAATGAAAATAAAGCCAGTCAAAGGACCAATACGTTTCTCTAACTTTTTCAAATATATTTGATACAATAATAAGGTCGGATTGTAACATGAATTTCTTTGATTTCACAACTCGAGGTTGCCTAATCATAAGTGAGTAAATCTTTTTAAGTAATTTTTATAGTGTGTAAATAATACGTTTTCAAAATACAAATTATTCTAATCAAAATACTTAATAATGATTTGATTACACACAAAGTTGTTAAATATTTATAATTTTCTATCTTGTTTTATTTATACAATGTGACCATTCAATACTAAAACGCGATAGGTGTCAGTGCGATATTTTAAGGACTTTATTGATACTAATAGAAATAAAACTACCTTTCTTTTCGTATATGGACATTAACTTATCCCCATCACCGGCTACCCAGACAGAATTCTGTAAGTGACAGCCAGTCTTGTGAAGATCTCTGCTAGGTAACATTCTCAGGCAAAGGCACTGAAAATATGAATATACAAGTTAAATATTTATATGCCGGTAGAATTTGTGTTAAAGTCAGTAAATGAAGTTACACAACTTGTGAAATATGTATACAGTATAAATAGTAAGGAATGGCCATATCATATCTAATGCAGGAAAAAGGAATTCTAACTTCCTTTGATCTTGCATAGTTAAGTGTTTTGACGATTATACATGAACATTTTATGTACACGAGGTCACAAAAATTGCACTGTGTGTATATTATGAGCAAAAGTTCGTAGAACACGAATATCCCCCAATTCATACATTCTGTTAGTGACCTTTGATCTACTGATCTTAAAATCAATAGGGGTCATCTGTGAATGATGATCAACATCCCTACCAACTTTATTGATCATAGGACAAAACATACTAAAGCTATGCTTTCTCTGAAAATCGGGACATAAAAATCTCTATAATTCATTAATATTTATACAAAATATATAAATGTAACGTATTTATATTGTACTTTCTTCAAACTGCACTATTAATATTAAAGGCTATTTAAAAACTATATTTGATATTCAATAAGTCACTTTCGTCAGGTTCACAATGAGCGAAAGGAAGATAGATGTTTTAGCTAATGTATAAACATTATACAAATAAATGAAGATTAAAATCATCTTAATGATTTAAAAAAAAATCAACCAAAATTATTTTAATTTTCATAATATACGTCTACAAACTGCAAATTTAATTTAAACGCTACATTTTATAGTTTTACTTTCATTTCCTCTCGCTCACAGTCGTCCGAATAAATCACTTTCGTATTGTTCTCTGTGAACGAAAGGATGATCTCTGAACTTGTATACAGTATAGAAACAATGCAAATAATTTGATATTTAATCATGATCATAATCATTATTTTGGGAAAAAGTATCAATCATTTATGAAAAATACGTCTACAAGCTGCAAAATTATTATAAATTTCAATTATTTAAATACTATATTTAATATTTTATAAGTCACTTTCGTATTTTTCAGTGTGAGCAAAGGAAGATCGCTGAACTTGAATATAAAAATCATACAAATAAATAGAGTATAAATCATCATATTGATTATTTTTGACAATAAACATTATTAATTTCTGATAATATACGTCAACAAACTGCAATATTAGCATAAATTCCAATATAAAAGCCTTTTTGATATCATATAAGCCACTTTCGTTTTTTTTTCAATGTGAGCGAAAGAAATATCTCAGACCTTGTGTATCGCAATTATGCAAGTAAATGGCGATTAAATCAACATTATGATTATTTTTTTATAACATTCATATTTTTTTCATAAGTTACTTTCGCTCACTTTCGCCAAAAAGGTCACTTTCGCATTTTAGGCAAACCCCGGTGCGTGTGTAAACCATGTGGTGTAAATAACGCAATTTCATTGGATGTTGTTTTTCTTTAGCGAGAACTTTAGTCATGTGTCTAAATAAAAGCATTTCATTTTCATTTTAAATTATTTCATCACGTATTTTTTCAAATAATTATTATAATTTAATTATATACAACGGTGGCACAAAGGTGACATGTGTGTGCTTTTATTTATCTCGTACGCACGAGATACTATGTCGTGGCCACGAGTTACTAACTCGTGGCCACGAGAAAGCTAAGACTTGGCCTAAAGATACTATTTCGTGGCCAAGAGGTACTAAGTTGTGGTCACGAGATAGCTAAGTCGTGGCCACGAGATACTATGTCGTGGCCACAAGTTACTAAGTCGTGGCCACGAGATAGGTAAGTCGTGGCCACGAGATACTATGTCGAGGCCACGAGATACTATGTCGAGGCCACGAGTTACTAAGTCGTTGCCACGAGATAATTAAGTCGTGGCCACGAGTCGTGGGAACGAGATAAATTAGTCGTGCGCACGAGATAATTAACCAATCAGAATACACTATACATATTGTGAATTTTTTAAACTTAACAATTTACTTTAACATGCAATATTTATCTTTGAAAATACTGAAGATATTCACTTTGAAATTGTTTTAGGATCATATTAGAAAGTCACCTTTCAAGGCCACTTAGACAATAATTTTGATTATAGTCCTTTGTTGGGACAATTTTGTGATCGAATTGGTCAGTTTGTACGTACTGCGGCCTGTTAACCTTGTAAATATGATAACATAAATAATACGTCCTGGTTTATTTATTTGGAAGGGACATTGCCCATGGACAGTAGATAGCCTATAAGGCTTTTTGAGGTCAAGGTAACCATGACACTTCATGTAAAATCCTTGTCTGATGAATAATTAAGAAGGGATAAGCCATGGTTTATATAACCCAGAAAGATCATTGCACCTGATCAGTAGATGACATCTAATAATTTCGAGGTCATTGGGTCAAAAATCAAGTAAATAAGTTGTATAAATGGCACTTTTACAGGCTGGTGAAGTAGGGGCATCATTGTACAATAGCACATGTCAAGTTAATTAGGGAAATTCATGTAAATGGTGTAATCTGATTGGTCATTTATCTCGTGGCGACGACTTAGTAATTCGTGACCACGACATAGTATCTCGTGGCCACGACTTAGCTATCTCGTGGCCACGACATAGTTAATCCCCACGATATAGTATTTCGTGGCCACGATCTAGCTATCTCGTGGCCACGACTTAGTAACTCGTGGCCACGACATAGTATCTCGTGCGCACGAGATAAATAAAAAAAACACATGTCACCTTTGTGCCACCGTAATATACTAATATTCCTTCATGTTTAAAAAAAACAAAAACAAAACATTTAAAAGACTCATTCACGCAACATTAGGCCAAAACAAAATGATCTTGCGGTTCCGGTAACCTGACCGACCCTGTATTTCCGCACCAAACCTAGAACATTTCATTGCAAAAATGAAGTATCCTATAGTGTATATATCTCACATACAGTTAAATTTTGATAAAATACTGATAAAAAAATGTTTTTCCGACCTACCTTCACGATTATTTTTCAGCATGTTACCAGAGCCTCAAGATCATTTTGTTTTGGCCTTATGACGTCAAACACACAAGCTTATTTTTCCCCATTGAATTTTTATCTTATATATACCATATTACACGCCTCGAGGCCGCGTGTAATGAAACGATATGACGTAAAGGATACAATTTCATAATATCTTAAAAATAGAATGAATACCAAAGTTTTCTTAAGCCATTGCCAGGGGGCTTGGCGGTGGCTAATTGTCAGTAAAATTGAGTCTGCAACAGTCGATACAGTACAGTACTATTTTAGAACAATTCGGCATGGGAAGGAACATCAAAAGCAATTTTAATGAAAAAGGTAAAAGTAATCTCCAATTCATGCCCAAAACGGGAAGAAAGAAAATGTTCAAGAATCAAAAATTAAATTCTATAAAGTCTGTTCTTTACATAAGTCATACCTCTCATAAATTTAGAACCTGACGAAGAGAGGTATTCAATACTAAACACGAAACATATTTTAATCAATGGCCCTAAAGGATCGAAAACTATTAAAAGTTTAGGCTGCCAATGCACTCACCGTCAAGTCACTTAAGTATAATAAAAATGAAAAAATCATGTTCATGAGAAATACTGAAAAGCTTAACTTCTCTCATGCAAAATGTTCAAGTGAACTTAAATACTCCACTCTTAAAATACTGGAATGATTTTTTCCGAATAACAGAATAATACATTAGTGTCCTTATATATTCCAATGCACTCTGATCAATTTACATATTTCTAATAAGAAACGTTTATGTGTCAATGATATGCAACATTCTTTACCTTGTCACGGCTTAATCCGACAATTGATCGTGCCATTTTCATTCTTTTGCAAAATGTTAAACATAAGCCGGGAGAATTTTTGTGTATAGAGGAAAAGGTAACGTGAGGATGTCCATCTATAGACGTGCAACCTAGATAAGAAATGTTTTACATGTAAAACTCAAGATATCAACTGAATTTATCCTACTAAGGTGTCTATCTCCTGCTAGATTTGCTTTGGCAATACAAATCATGCCAAGGATAAAAAAGATCATATCCAATGTAACTAAGCTTTAACTCCTCTTAAAACTTCGCATATTATTATTTACTATCTCAGATTATTTTAATAAATTAACCATTACTCCTATTATAACTGTAAAATAGTCGATTTATTTAGAACTATCATTTTGCTAGGCAAAAAAATGAAATGAGTAAGATTAACATTGACACGAGTAAATATGACAGAACTTACCAACATATGCAAATGCAGTATTCATTTGAAAATATCCTACCCAAGTTTCTCCTCCATCTTCCAGTAGGTTTGTGAAACTTTTTAAAGAAAATATATCTGGAGTAGCAAATTTCTGGATTTTAGCAGCTTCTAACCACGAGATCCGTCCTTCGGATAAAATGTATCCGAAAGAATCTGCAATCACAGATGATTAAAATCACAGAATGAATGCAATAAGGTAGACAAATGAAATAAATGTATTGCTGTTGCATGTATGAACATATGCGTAGAAAACTCAATGACAGGCTGATTAAAAACTGTATTTGATTGTGAAAAAAATGAATTCTTTGTTTATGTTTTCCTAGTATCTTGTGTCAGGAATACAATATTGACATGATACCAAATAGGCCTATTAGCTCAGTGATTGAACAAGAATGACTGAAACGTAAACTGCAATTTTCAAGGGCGTATTTAAATTAACCAATGTTAAAGTAGAATTATATATAACACAACCGTTAAAATATTGAATATGTACTTAATTTTACGTTACTGTAACATAAAAAGTCCTCAACTGATATATGAACAATTTGAATTAAACATGTTTGAACCCTAGAATAAGATATCAAACTATATCTAAGTGTATATTTAAGTCCTTAGCCCAAGAAACTAGAATTGAGAAACATCAACACTAATTGGCCTTGTTGGACTGACATAGATTCTGTTAGAGGAGAAAATAAAAAAAGACAGGGATACCAATAACCTCAAAAGATAAAATCCCTTAAAGCATAATCGTCTCTCTAAGGACCAGCACCATAAGACAGGTACTAAAGTCACTGTATACTTTTATTATTGTGTTCCCTATTGCTGAAACAAAACGGGAATATTAATATACACTTCTAATATACACGTTACATCAGAACTTTAACATACAACATGTATAAATTATTTTCATCACTTTATTATTTCCTACTGAATCTTATTCAAACGTTTTAAAATATATATTCATGTCTAAAGAACAGTCTTATCTATAAAAGTTGGTAATTAAGAAAGGGCCTTTCCAATTAAATCTTTACTCCATCAAAATCTCCGGGTCAGGCACGATTCCATCGGGGTAACTAGGTAACTAGAAAATCAATAAGCTTATCTAACTTAGATTTATTTTATTTAATGCAAGAGTAGATTTATTAAGTTATAATAAAATTGTTACTTCATTTTCTTATATGTGTTTATATTATTAATTGTTTTACCAATGTATAGTGTTATAGACACATGCTGTATTATGCTGACTGTATAATTCAATTGCATTTCATTCAATTTTAAATGTCTTATTCTTATTACAAGATATTCTATTTCATTATTTTCTTTTATTCTTTCACAAAAATGTTTTGCTGCATGCCAACACATGATAATGAAAGAGAAGACCCTACGGCGGACGTACCGACTGTTGATATATGAAAATAATATGCATTTAGCAAACTAGAAACATAAGTTTTAATAAAACAAGAAATGCACAAATGGATTTCAATTCACAAAACATTTATTAACGATTGAATTGTTCAACCGGTGCTTGTTATTTTATCACTTTTTCTTACTATCATATCAAAACCGAGATTTATTTTTTAGTTGTCTATTAGGAATATTATAATACCAAAGGGAAGGTTTTGTTCTGATGTTAATTTTTACCTCTTATTTATGGCCAAGAATGTCTATCTAGAAGGGACCTTACTAGTTTCATTGTGATATGAATTACGTTGTGGTTAACACATTCACGCTATCAATACCCGAGTGATAAGAAAATGTCAAACATAAAGTGAATTAAGATGAAAGGAAGACGAAGAAAATCATTTAAACCAAAGAATAATAATGGCCACAGTTTGGTATACATGCTGTTTTGTTTATCATTTTAAAGATGTGTAATAAATATATGTCTGTAAAGCATATGTAAAGCATAAATGAATAATATTTGTTTTTATTTTTTTTTCAGAAAAAAAATTCTACAACGAATACTTTTTTGCTTTACTATGTATAAAACCAATTACGAACTATTTAAAATTTAGGATTATTTTTCGGTAATTTTTTGTACCCTGCAGCCATGTGCTACGAAAGGAAATTAATATGATACCTTTCTATTCATTCTACTGATATTTGACTAGAACTATCGCTGAATGCGATTCATACCCCACCAATGTCCTTGACAGGAGATGACTTGGAAAGGTGGTTAAAGGAATAACTTAAGTGGCACAAATACATATGCATAAAAAGAAATTATCTCTGGTGAAAAAACGACAAATTTTACAGGTAATAGTATAAATATATATTTGTCAAATCATGTTCGAAACATTTACAAATAACCTTTCATTTTCCAAATGTACTAACACAAAGAAAAGCAGTGAAGTTAAGAAAATAGCATAATTATGTCAAAATGTAATTAGAGTGGAAAAACTTTGCATACTGAGCTTACTTGTGACTCTTCATATATTATATAGTTTCAAGTCATATATTATATAGTTTCAAGTGAATATCTGTTCTAGTTTCAGAAACATTTAAGTATTAATGGTTATATCAGAAAAGTTTCTAAGCCTAAAAGGGGCATAACTTGTGCCATAATTCAATGGAGCTTGCTTGTAACCATTTATTTAAATTTTAAATTTAAGTAGATATCTGTTCTGGTTTAAGAAATATTATAGTAAATAAATTTAAAGACATAAAAATGGACTTAACTTTGTAAAAATACAATACAAAGTTATCCCCCCCTTTTTTAGTTATGAAACTTGACCTGCGACACTTCGTATACATATTTGAAGTTTCAAATGGTTATCTGTTCTAGTTTTAGAAATATTCAACGTGTTAAAATGTCAGAACATACTATACGTTTATGTAATTACAAAACAGAGTGTTAAAAAGTAAATACCTTTTTTGTCCTTGCAAATATCTAATTTCTTCTTTTTTAATTTGCAATATTATTATGTGTTAAACATCTATATATATTCTCCCCATGTATAGCACACTACTATTTATAAACACACACACAAGATATATGTAATGTATATAAACCTCCACGTGGTATCTATTTTTAACGAAGAGAAAACCAAAATTTGACATGATACTGTCTATATTTAGAAAGTTATTTATATCGTGTGTATAGTGCATTTGTAAATATTTTGCTATGTTTTGAACACATAATTTATAATGTTAGATAATATTGTTTGCTTAGATCTACATGTAAGTTTAAATGATCCTATGTATGTGAAATTTGTTTACCATGTTTTATACATGTACATTGTTATTGTCGCTGAATGGGTATTTGTAGTATTTTGGGCGTATTTTTTTTTTGTTTTTTGTTTTTTTGTTTTGTTTTTTTTTTGTTTTGACTTTTGTACATGTATGTAAAAAGATATTTGTAGTTATATTTGTTATGTCCGTTCGTTTGTTTGTTTGTAAGTTTGTATAAAGATTCTTTTTTAAATGAAACTTGAAACTATTTTCTCCGTCATCTCAATAATATAATAAGAAATGCCACCTAGTAATAGTTTATATAACGGCCGTAAAATTTTAAGTTATTTATTTTATTTATGTTGTTTAAAAGACAATTGTGTTTTTCTTTTACCCAATAGGTGATGATTTAACCAAATACGCTCAGAATTGTCAAGGGCTGGGAAATACTAAGAAACAACGCGATGATTTTCATTATCTTAGGAAAAAAGATTATTATATTATATGTCTGCAGGATGTTCACATTGAAGAAAAGTTATGTTCCTTTGTTAAAAATGAATGGGGATATGATGCCTATTTTAGCCCAAATAAACGTAATAGTAGAGAGGTAATGGTTTTGTTTAGAAATAATTTTGAGCAAAAAGTAGAAAATGTATACAGTGACGAAATGGAAGTTATCTTATTCTTGATATGTTAATGCCGAACTTCAGACTTACTCTCGTTAATTTATATTGTCCAAATGATGATAAACCGGCTTTTTATGAAAAAATTAAACACAAAATATTTGAAATTGGTATTGATAACGTGATAATCTGCGGAGATTGGAATCTTGTTATTAATCCCTCAGTAGATCATGAAAATTACACAAATATTAATAACCTTCGAGCAAGACAGAGTATTTTAGAGCTAATGAACATATAATTATGTAGACGTATGGCGTGTTTTAAATTTTGGAATAAAAGGGAATATAACTTGGAAAAGAAAATCCCGACAAAGAAAGCAAGCACGGTAAGATTTGTTTTCTTGTAAATGAGGATATGATGAATTATATAACTAACTGAAAAATAACTACAGGTTGTAGAACAGACCATTTAGGTGTTTTGTTAACAATTAAATTATTTGAAAATGAAAGGGTAAAAGGCTATTGGAAATTTGATTGTTCTCTTTTGACCGAAAACTCATATATCGATCTAGTTAAGAATACATTACATACTTTAGTGGATTTACATAAAACAGAAAATAACACTGAATATAATTATACAGATCCAGATTTAAATATTAACCCCCAACTTTTTTATGAAATATTTTTGGTCGTTCTTAGAGGCGAAACAATAAAATAAAGTGCAGAAAAGAAAACGATTAGAAAAACTAGAAAAAGATTTAGAAACATATATTCAAGCATTAGAAAAACAAATATCCGAAAATCGCAATTCTTCGAGTGAGGAAACTTGTGCGGCACTTAATGAAATAAAAATCTCAGTTAGAAGCGTTACGGAAATCAAAGTTAGAAGGAGTGATATTAAGATCGAAATACCGTTATGAAAATTTAGGAGAAAAACCTAGTAGTTATTTTTTAAATCTTGAAAATAGAAATTTTACAAATAAATTAATAACAAAACTGATTATGGAAAACAATAAAGAAATAAGAAAAACGAAATATATACTCGATTTTCAAAAAGATAATTACGAAAAATGATATACAGAAAATTCAAATATAATAGATGAAGCTCCTATAAAAGACATTATAGGGGAAAATGAAAATAAATTAAGTGAACTTGATACTCAAATGTTAGAGGGCGAATTGACAATTGATGAGTTAATTATTGCTTTCAGCAACATAAAAAATGGTAAAATGTCCAGGTTTAGACGGCTATACTGTTGTTTTTTTAATTTTTTCTGGAGAGATCTCTCAATTTTTTGTATAAAAACTCTTAACTTTGGCTACTTTAATGATAGTTTATCTGTCACTCAGAAGCAAGGAG